AAAAACCCCCAAAAAAAAAAAAAAAAAAAAAAAAAAAAAAAATCTTTTTCACCGAAAATTAATAACGGATTTAAAGGATTCAAATATTTTCATCCCCCGATGTATGCTCCCATACACACACACACACATATATATATATATATATATATATATATATATATATATATATACCTTTTGTAATTTCTCGATAAACGATGAATTTTCCTTCAAAACAAAATCGGCCAAGCACAAACATGCGTACCAGCGGCACGCACGATAAACGTGCACCCTGGCTATGCTATTACTGACGGGGGACACTCTTAGTCCTAGCAAACAGATCAACAAGTACTCGCGCACGGTGGAGAATGACCGGGTATGGAAACGAGAGTGAGAGAGATGACGGTCAAAATAATATACAGGGTGACTGAGAAATAGAATTTCAAAGATGTCAAAGTAAGTTCAGAGGCAAGTAAAGAAGATATAATAAACAGGTAAGCCAAACAGCGACTTAAGGCTTTTCGCGTATAGTGACCATCGTTGACCCAGAATTAATTATATTGTATGCGAGATCTATTGTTATGGCGTACCTAGGTACATACTGTATATGTATAACGAACCGACCAATAAGATTTTGTGTAACAGTAAGAGCAATAGGTGGACTGAAATGAGCGATGAGTATTTCCAAAGTATAATGTACGAAAAACGGCAGCACTATTCCGTACGAAAAGTAGCGATATATTGTGATTGTCATTGGATACACAGAAAATTATAAATTAAAAAATATTTATCGATTCGTTTTAACGTAACACATTGTACGTATACGTGTGTTATTGCACACTATAATAATATGCAATATATACGTATGCTGTAATATACAATATATCATTATACCGAGCGGCTTCATCGATATAGTTCCCCGCTACGTGAATTCAATTACCACGCGGTGGAAATAGAACTTTCGGACAAATTAGTAACGAGATAATTGAATGGCAATCCTATTAGCTATCGCTTACGATAATCGGCGATTCCATTACAAGAGTCCGGTGTACGCGCGAGTACGGTAGTCACGTCACGACATTGAACATATGTATTTATTTACGTAGTAGCTGCCAGTAATCACTTGGGACGGGACGTAGGGATAGATAAAAATATATAAATAAAGATCGAACGTATAAATAATAGAAAAAGAAAAAGTGCAAAAAAAATTTTTGCATGCACATAGCCACAAGAAGCATAACGCTAAGCTCGGGGATTGTCAATGTGAAAAAGTTAAGCTGGACGAACTTTGTATTTTGAAAGTATGCAAAAAAAAAAAATATTTCGTACTCCGAAAAACGACAAGCTGAGAATCGCGGGCGCGATTTTGATTTTCACAGATAAGAATTCACAACGCGAAAAAATTGGGGCGCTCGAGACGTGAAAGGCAAGGCAGCTGTTGTACGGATAAAAATTAAATTCGAAAAACGAGCGAGGTCGCGACGACTGGTGTTATAAAAATGAAAAACAAGATGGAGTAGCCGATAAAAGAGGTCCGTCAAAAGAAATAGATTCCCTTAGGGCGTATGTTATAAATGAAATGAAAAGGAAAAAAAAAGGTGGAAAATAATAAATATAGCGAAAGAAGGTGTATATATATATATAGAGGGATTTACAAGCAATCCCTTGTCAATTGTCCGATAATCCTCAGGTCACGGATATAACGCGAAGGCACGACTTGGCCGATTGTTGATTTTTATTTTACGGGTTTAGCTAGGTAGCCCGACTATAAGAGTGCGTGTATATGTATGTGCGTACAGTTAATAAATAAAGTACGTTCGATGTAACTCACCATTGGACTGTCCGGCGTGTGCCTATGGTGCCCCATGGAGATATTAGCCATGGCGACTCCACCGCCAGGATTTCCCATGTCCTGATACTCGTCGCTGATTTCCATCGCGTAGGATGGCAACGGTTCTCTGTTCTTCACCCGAATTTTGGCTGATTTATTGCGCGAAGCGCGGTCGTGTATTAATTGGAAATTTTCGTTGATAATCGTATCAACGATAATGTCAAGGTCACGATTAGCAAACTTTACGAAGATCGTAATGCCGGATCGATTACCAAAAAATCGGATAAATCGATACTGTCCAGAGTCGAATCCGACGCGACTCCAATACGAAGCGCGAGCGATGTATTGGTTAAAATATTATTGAAAATCGGTTGACTTTCGTCTTTCGATCTCATCCGATTTTTACGCTCTCCTTTATTGCCCTCCTTCTCGTCCGCGCGTCGCGTCTCATTCGTTGGAAAAACACCGGGTGAACTGTGCGCCAACCCTTAAGTACGAAAATAAACTTCCTTTTGAACCACCACCACCACCATCACCACCACCATCACCTTCCTCTTCAGCTGCACAAGCCTCGATGCCAGGATTTCGATGCAGTTCAATAATTTTCTCTCTTTATTTATTGTTATTGTACTTTGAACGAAATAAAAAAGAAAAAGGCAGTTCAGATTGACCTCATCCGTCCTGAGTCAGGATACGAGGTGGTCCCCGTTTCAAAAGATCGGCTCCCGTCACGATTTCGAACCATAAATGCCACAGTCAGTTCGCGATCGTTCAAATTTCCCGCGCTTCCTATCGCCAGCGCACGAACGCCGGTGCGTGAAACTTTATAAAAAAAAAAAAAAAAAAAAAAAAAAAAAAAAAAAACAGAACGACCGAATCCTGAATTTTTGTATGAAAATCAAAAATAAAAAATAAAATATTGAACCAAAAAAACTTAAGGAGCACCACAGTGTACACTTTTCGTAGTATTGAAGGTCGATTTAAAAAATAAAAAAAATCACTATTATAAATATCGCGATCGATGACGTCGATTGTGCCGATCTGGAATGTTTGTATTCGGGCACCAAGTGTGTTCTTCGCCAAATTATCGCCTGTAGAAATTGCACGGTAGATAAGGCGCAATGGGTAGGGTATATACGGGAACGACGATACACCTCGTCGGGAAAGAAATAAACGTACAGGAGGGAAGAGAGACGGAGAGAGAGAGAGAGAGGACGTGTCCTTGCTCCAATGAAAACTCACTGAAAACTGAACTTAGTGTCGTGGAGGTCAGAGAGCAGAATTATAAATACAAAGATTATCGCGACGACGACCACACGCGTTTTCGAAAAAGCGAGAGAGGACACGCGCGCACACCCGCGTCCACTGACGATCTGAGCTTCTTCGAGTCTGCCTGCGGTTAATCCCCACCAGAGAGCATCGGAATGGGCGCGGCTAGGCTAAGTGGGGTTAACGGTGGGGAGCTATTGGAAACAGGCGGAGCAATCAGGCCACGCCTGACCAACTGCCTACCTCGATATACCCTATTGGATAACGACCTCGGGACCTTAAAAGAAAAAATCCACGATTATATTCCTAATGGCATCTATTCTCTGGCATTGTAGCCTCCGTAGACACGTAGATATCCAACGTCGTCAGGGATCATATGAAAATTACTATCTTTTCATCCAGTATACCCGTACCTCGCGCAATTGACTCAGTCGACTCTTCGCAAAGAGACCACCGAGTCGTACCTGACCGATAATATTCTCACGGAAGGTTTTATCCGTCAAATTGAAAATAAAAAAAAAAAGTTTCTCTTTCATCCCAGCACCGATTACACGGTCGGCTGCGATAATGGGGATTGTGCAAATAAAATTTTTAAGAGACCAAATAATATTTGTATACGCCTTTGGGAAAATCAATATCCCCTCCTCTTGCCGCATTTAAATTACACGAGTAAATTATTCCCACGTTTAGAGAGGTTACTGCGCAAGACGCAAAAGGCGTGCACCTTCCTCACGCGATCCCACCCTTAACGTCCATTCTACGGGAATATCGCCAAGTATCGCACAAGTGAACAGGCATTGCAAGTGGGGAAGAAGTCGGCTGCGCTACGAGGCGCTACGAGCTCCTATGAGCTCCACTGCTGTGAACCAGGATCGTCGGTCGGGTTGAGCCGCGATTGGGTATAGGAAATGGTTGGTGCGGCGCGGTCGCGGCTGATGGTGAAGGGAGGGAGGGGGATGGAGAGGGTTAAAAAGGGTTGAGGAAGGCATCGGGGCGGGGAGCCTGAGGTGGAGGGGTAAATACAAATGGGCAATAGGCAGAGGAGCGCACACCTCTACTTCGACAAACTGCATTAAACTTTAGTGCTGGCAGTTTTTTCCTCGACAGTCGTTAACACCCCAACGGCTGTTTGATCTTTGTTAATGCGTGTGCCATCTCGCGGCAATTTCACGTAACGCAGGGTCGTTTTTGAAAAAAAAAAAAAAAAAAAAAAAAAAAGAAAGAGGATAACGCGCGTAATAACGTTTTTTAAAAAAAAAAAAAAAAAAAAAAAAAAAAAGAAAGAGGATAACGCGCGTAATAACGTAAACGGATGGTACGTGTTAATTTTTCGGATAAGATTTCTCATATTTTTTTTTTATATCAGGATCATTGAGACCGAGGAATTATTTTTTGGCTTCAAATGAAAATCATGGGAATTAATGATCTCTCGGGAGGTTTTCGTCTGCGAAGTATATCGTTCTTGGTAATTTTGAAAGTTCTTTGTGTTTCTTGTTATTATTCGTGGGTCTTACGCTCGATTCTATGATACATGGTAGGTAGTTGCTTGGGCGCATATCTGCGTGCACTCTACGTCATATGCCAAGATGGCGGGACTGCTTGCTGTACAAATTACAGGTAATTGTAGAGAGTGAGAGAGAGAGAGAGAGAGAGAGAGAGAGAGAGAGAGAGAGAGAGAGAGAGAGAGCGTGGTTCCGCGTACGTGAAGTACCGGGGAGGGAACCTTGTAGGGCCGGCCCGAAGCCAAGAGCGTGTGAAACTGCGAATTTTACGATCTCGCTCGTGCGATATTCTTTATATGTATTATATTATAGGGTGGATAATTGTACGAGCGGAATTCAATCTGTTTACAGAGATCGTAGGTTCCAGTAGCGAATTAGTAAATATAAAATATGAGAGTCGAGGGTCGGAAGGATTTTTATTTATATTTCAACAAATCAAATTTGTTATATGTTTATAAAATTTCGCTAAACTCTTAACTATCGCATGTTTACAAGTTCCACGTGCTTTTCCTTTGACAGCTCGAAAACAACGATGTTCCTAGCACGTGGCTCTGTACGCCACTTTTTTCTTTTTTTCTTTTTTTTCACGCGCACAGTTTTGCACTGAAATATATATGATTTTTCATAATTTTTTTTTTAAGTCTATGAAATTTTTCTTAATTTTTTTTTGGAAAATTCGTCTGCCGTTCTTTCAGGGATCGCGTTACTTGACAAATTTACCAAAAAATCTCTTCGAATGCC